ATTCATGAACTAAGCACAACCAAATTATAGAAATCATAAAGCACCTATCAATGTTAAGTTCGAGGACATGGTGCGCAGAGCAAGGGATGGGGATTAGACATTTTTGCCAAAAAAAAAATTCAAAACCCACTCCCCTCGGACAACAGATGCAGGCTTCAATTTGAGTCAAAATTTCCCTCTTTAGGGCAACTTTATATCTTGGCAACTATTTTCATATTTTAACATCAAAATGATTATGCTGTCAAATAAAGGCAACTGGCCATATAATATAATGACTTAGTTTAATTTAAATGCTTAATATGCTTATGTTGTAATTTCTTATTTAAAGAAATGTCAAGCTTCTGTTTGCAAATCATGAAGAAAAAGATATTCTGTGGAGACGTCAGCTGGATGAGCTAGCTGAGATGTCCAGCCAAAAGTAAGCTTGCATAATATATAATTATCTGACTTAAAATAACGGAAGGTCATTAGACAATGTYTGGCCAGAATTAGARCTTGTCYGGTCAAATCTTTSCCTTGCTGGTCATTTTGACCAGTATTGTTRAGCCARAAACAAGGTATGACAGAGCTATAACTAATAGCATGTTTACGTGATGGTGWCATTTGACTCCCACTACCAAGATGCTTTGCAAATTTTCTTTCTTATTCAAATTTGTATCCCCTCATGAGAATRGTAAGACAATTGGTGCTACTTAACTGAACAAAAGAAAGCGTGCAAGGGAGTCTGGTAGTAGAGGTCAATGACGCCATCATGTTAACGGTCTGTGGTTATCATGACTAGTGACTGACTATTATTTTAAGCCCTGTGCATTGACATCGACAAAGAAACCGAATGATATTGACCAAAGCCCTCTTTTGAAATACTCCAAATTACTGGGACCCAGACCCTTGCTCGATTTGTTTGCCGGAGAATAGGCCATTTCACGGATCCCGTTACTCAACCTCAACCTCGTCAGCATGTAATATTATTCTTTAGAATTTGACTACAGTCTGCAGTAATGAAAGGAATTTACACATCAACAAACAATTGAAACACTTAAAAATTTTACAGGTTGTAGGTAATTTCTAAAGAATATATTACACACCTACGAGGCTGAGGTTGAGCCGCAGGATCTGTAAAATGGTCTATTGATAATTGTGTTGTGTCTATTCAGTTTTCAGGTACATTATGCTATATCTAAACCCACACCAGAATGGGACGGCTATGAAGGAAGAATCTCAACAAAAATGCTATTGGAGACCTTACCCCCTCCTCCCTCAGAGAACAATAGTACTGACTTGTTGATTTGTGTTTGTGGACCTGATCCTTTTACACATGGCATTCTCAGGTAAGAAAGACCTCAATCTGATCRATGCACTGTATATATGTAATAGTTTGTACTCATCGCTAATTACAGAATACATGTGGGATCGTCAATGCTGAAGAATATTTTGATAAAATAAATTAAAGAGTTCATTATTGCAGCTGTTGTTGTTGCAGCAATAATTCTTCCTGGTTAATGTTGTTG